AGGCATTGAACTGTTAGATCCTTAAGTTTCACGCGATCGACTTTACTTTCCTTTAGTATCTTCGCCTGAAGCCATTTCCCATCATCTATACTTGAATCAACTACATAATCTTTTCTCGACTTGAGGCAGTCACGAACACGTGCGATGAGGTCTGCTCATTTTCCGCTCAATTTCAAGCCTCTACACTTTAACCAACGCTTCAATTGTGTGTTTGTATACTTCTCTTGGTCTTGCTCGAACTTTGAGCCAGGAAAACCGTCGTTTTGATTTAAAATAAGAGCTTTAGAGGCGTTTGAACTAGAGATGGGCGCATCACCGCCCATATTCATTTACTCGAGAAGCCTGTTTGTTTGTCCTAATCGCTCTAGGGAGTCAAAATTTCGTGACGTCACAGACGCTCAGCGCCATTGGTGTTACATCACGGTAATAGTCTTTATTTCATAAGTTATGTTTGATATTCTCATTACCTGTTTGCTAGGCAACACGTGGACATTGTAGGGAGAACTCACATATTCTTGGAGTTAAAGGGTTAATAGCCGGCCTTATGCGTTTCCGGATTCTCAATACTTAGAAATTGAAGCAAAAGAGCTCCAGCTATCTACGAATTGAATTGGACTGGATTGGGAAATGGAAAATCATTTATGGGAGAAAATAAAACACATGAACATCACAAAGAATTCTTAGATCGGTTGCTTATTTCAAAACATTGACTGTTTTGTATGGTTACTTAGTGTTGATATAAATTGCAGCGAGTTTCGCTGTGGCTGGTCAAGGGTTATATGTAGAAGTAAAATAGAAATATATTGTCTTATTACGACATCCATTCCACCGAGACGGCCGAATGACGAAAGGATATTTGGTTTGATTGAGTTGCACTAGTTTTACAAAGTTGACTAGAAGTCATCCTCGAACGATAAACGAATTTCATAACAATCACAACTGATTTTGATTAAGCGTGATCGATACTCTTGTTTACTTTTTGTCTCAGTGTAGATCGTGTCACTAGTCGCGTTCCTTACATAAGGACCCCCTTGTAAAGCTAGAGCCAGCGAATGCATGCACCAACACATAATCTTACCAAGTCCAAAATAGTCTTAATAGAGACTTTACAAGCGAGAGCAAACGAAAAAAAATGTTCAGAACGTTGAAAGTGTCTTACGAATTATTCACTTTCCATCAAGCCCACCGTCATCTGCTGACCTGCCCACGTTCATCTGTCTGGAAGTGAGCAGTTTGTCCTCCCACTGTCGGTGTTATGTAGACTGGAGGAATGACTGACATGTCACTATAACACACGCCGTGAGGTGGGTCACCAAATGATCATGAGCATTGGTAGAAGGTGCTGAAAGAATGATGGAAGAAAAACATAGATCAACCCTTCATTCGACCTTCCTCGTTTGCGATCTTACGAAACAATTGGGTCTTCACAAGAGGTCTTCGTAAATGCATCATTTACCGATATCAAGAAAAAATAATGTGATATCGTCTTCCCTTGCCAGTGATAATACACATAGAATTATACGCCTCGTAGTTTTAAAAGTCCTAAGAAAACCTCTGTTCACGTCTTTTAACCCGTTATGTCCCTATAACTCTACATTTCTTTTTGCCAACGAGTGAAAATCAAGTAAAGCAATGATTCTCGCTGGTGAACTGCAATCAGTTGGCATATACACTCTGCGATTCTCCAACGCGTGGCTTCGTAGTACATTTGGTAGAAGCGCACAACTAGTATCTGGGTGGCAATGGTTCGAATCCCGTCGAAGCTTGAAAACTTTTCAGTCTTTTCTGCAATTGCTTAAATTGCAGCTCATCTGCGAGGATCCTTGCTTCACTTTACTTCCTTTATTGAGATTACAGAAACATGGAACGTGCCTTTTGCCATCAATCCCACCATAATGTGCTGACTTGCCAACATTTTCCTGTTTCTGTGTGAGCTAGTATTCATCACATCATGTGTTTATAGAGGAATGGTTAACAACTCACTACAACGTATTATGCGGGTGGGTTAGGAAATGAGCGTTAGAAAAGAAGTTTGAAGATTCATCGAAGAAAAACCGCATGAAGTCTTTATTTGACCTTCGCAGCTTTCGATCTTAAGGGTCAAATATTTAATTCTAACCCGAAAGTTGTTCGCAAATGCCTAATTGCCTCCATTTTACCAATATCAAGAGGAGATGATAGTACATTGTTATCTCTTGCCAATGTTGATCACACAATTCATTCAGGAAAATGTGCGCTTTTCAGTGTTGGTAATCCTTACAAGGGAACTTCGATTCAGTTCGCGTCATTTGACCCTCTTAGTACTTTCTCTATGGTTATGCAAGAAGTAGGCAGACGACGTCTGAATTTCCTGCTCTTTATTTCAAGTAACTACTTAAAAAACAGACTTTTCTATAAGAATCTCTTATCACAAGCGTCTCGCACCAGATGGTGAAACTGACTGTGAAACCCGGAAAAAAGCTTTCATACAAGCTGATAGAGCAATATTCGCCTACAGCATTTTCTTGTTGTTCTTCCTTAAAATTTGCAACTTGGCCACAATTTGTCAAAAGCGAAAATAAATCAGCTCTTAGAAGATTGATATTTATTTTAACCAGCTCTAAGTTGAAATCATCTACTTAATCATGGAAACTCTTCTATCGTATACGATACTATGAGACGATGACTAAACTTTGAGGAGGACCTCAAGGACACTGCTAACAGTAAGATACGGTCCTTAACATCAGCACTGACTAAGACGAGAATAGGTTTTTATAACTTACGATCAAAGTTAAAAACGGGAAAACTGGCCCAGGTGAGGCTATTCTATTTGCTATAACAGTCATAAGGGATTGCTGCTGCTCCACAAAAGTCTACACTTAAAAGGTCAACAAATTGAAGGTGGTTGCCTAATAATCAGTGTTTTCTAAGATGGTGCTCAGCGTCCTGATA